TATGATCAATTGTTGTTAATATTAAGGCCTCATTCACTCTGCTGAGCATATACGCGCGTACGTGCGTATTGTACCATATGAAACATATGCAAATAAATGGCTCCATACACACAGCCGCGTATATTTGCATAGCGTATATATGCGCAAAAACAGAATGGAACAGAGATGCGTCCGGGCAGCGTATTTCTGCGCATATACGCGCGTACAGCACATTAAAAATTCCATTACGAGTGATGCATTCTGGGATTGCATATAGTGCATGCATATATACGCTCGTATATACACGCATAGACACTCGTATATATGCGCATAGACGCTCCTATATACGCAATATACAATTTTGCTTGTGTTGTGTGTGAATGAGGCCTTAAGGTACTTAAATGTATTTTTAAGGTTTAAATCTTGAGTTTAGTGTCAATTTAACTGTTTTGTCAGCTTGATAAAGGGCTTTATACATCTTTGTCATAATCCTGTTCCAAAAATGTTTTGCACATATTTAGATCTGTGTATTGCAATCTCTAATCTCAGAGCAAATACGCAATGCCTGCACAAATTACCAGGTAAGTTCTCAAATAAGGGGTCTATTTATGAACCGGTTGCCGTGCGAATCTCTCGTTCTGTGCAAATCGAGGCAAAAGTTTACATTCTTGCTATATTTTCTTTTCAGGTTGAATGTATATTGTATAATATAATAATGCATTATGGCCAGTGGATGGAGCTGAGGACTATAGGAAATAAATACTTATTTCCTATGCTTCTCATTTCTGTCTTGTGTCCATAATGTGGCATTACAGGTGAAACTCGAATAATTAGAATATTGTGCAAAAGTAATTGCAGTAAGTGCTACAAAAGGGGCCCAAACCAAGTACTGAGTACATATGCATGCTTGTACTTTTCAGAGGTCCGATATTGTTCTATGTACAATCCTTGTTTTATTGATTGCATGTAATAATCTACTTTTTTGAGGTTGTGGATTTGGGGTTCTTGGGGTTTTCATGAGCTGTAAGCCATAATCATCACAATTATGACAAATCACGGCTTGAACTATCTTGCTTTGCATGTAATGAGTCTATCTCATATATTAGTTTCACCTTTTAAGTTGCATTAGTGAAATAAATGAACTTTGCACGATATTCTAATTATTCCAGTTTCACCTGTACATTACCATCGACCTGAAAAGAAATGATACCAAGATTCATTGTTTGCCTTTATTTGCACAGAGCTGATGTTCAGAGATTTGTAGGGTGAGTAGCTATGCAGATTATTTATAAATATATCCCTTAGTGTCTGGGATGTGCTCTAGAAATTGCAGCAAATGTTCTTGTCTGTTGGTTTTGAGTATAGAGCAGGGGTAGCCAAACTCCGGCCCTGCAGCTGTGGTAAAACTACCAATCCCATGAGGCATTGCAAGATTCCCACAGGCATGACACCCAGAGACAGATGCATCATGGGATTTGTAGTTTCAGCACAGCTGGAGGGCCGGAGTTTGGTTACCCCTGGTATAGAGAATGAAGTGCAGGCATGCATATATATGTCACAGCATTTCTGCATTGTACATGCCATGATGTGGTAAGTTGCAGTGCTATTTATTTTGGAAAGCACAGCAACATGTAAATGGTACCCCAGTGTACTAAATCAGTGAATACTGGATGCACCTGTGTTTCAGCACACCACAATGCACAGTAACACATGACAATTCATTGTTGTGTGTTGCAGCAAAAATGGTGCAGGTCCAATTTAATGAGGGGTATGGTTTGTTACTGCACAATCGCACAACATTGGAGCACACAGGTGTGAAGGGTCCCTTGTTTGCTTTGCCTGAATGGTGAGCATGTATGATCAGGCACATCCCACTGCCACACATTCCTATTGGCCCATCGCTATGAATGGCTGCCTTGCTGGCCTATAGGAATGAGTGGGAGAGGGGTGACAAACTTCAGCACTATCAGGAAGGATTCAAGCATTTAACAGGTCAGCAGCTTTAGGAATACAGGTGACCTCTGATGTCACAGCAACAGTAGTTTCCTTATTTCTCTCAGGTTCCTTTTAATACATAGAAAATGAAGACATCTTGGAGAGTCTTAATTACAAATGACCTTAATCTTGAGCTGCATTTAGAATATTGTACGGTCTGGTGGAGACCCTATAGCTAATTCAGGTCTACTGTATATTACAAGGATTTTAGCAATACAGTATTTGTTGTATAGTTTTCCCCTCTTGGCAGACTTTGTTATATCTGACTAAATAATCGTCTGAACCCCAAAGGCAATGGGAAGGAGACATATTTGGCATTTTAAGGTGTTTTGGTAGTAGACAAAGCCAATTGAATGATTGACCATTTTTAAACCTGGTTTTCAGTTGTCAGGAAATTTAATTTGGAAGAGATTTATTTTTATGCAAGTTGTGTTTTTATTCTCATTGTGTGTTGGTCCTCTGCTGCCTCTACCATGAGCTATGTACTGCCGCTGGACTTGTTTTTTAGGATAAATGAATATGATTTCTTCAGCACCCTATGTTTACCTACTTAGTTTTTGTTGAGGGTACTGTTAGGCTTTAACTCTTAGTGGTCTATTTATAATTTTCACACATTTTTCAACTGGATTCAGTTGGAGTGAATCTTGGGTGAAAGCTGTGTTAATTATGGATGAAACTAATTATAAATAGACCCCTTAGTATTGTAAGCATTCAGTGTGAGTAGAACCACAGGAAGCTGTGTGCATTGTATTTCTGTTTGCCCTCAGTATTTCATTGTTGAAATAAAAGTGTCTTAAGTCGGGTATACATGGTTTCAATCTCAAACAAATTACATTGATTTTGGAACGTTTGTTCCACTTTCTAATGGTTGATGTGGTGAAATTGATAATCGATTTCGACTGCAGTGACAACAAAATGTGCAGGAACATGTTGGAAAATTTTGCTCGATGGAATAAACCTCTAACAGTGAGTCAATGTGGTTTTCATTCAGGAAACTCCATTCATTCCAAAATCAAATGTTCATTTCAAACAAAGTTTGGAACTACAATCACCAAGTCTCTGATGGCTTTATCGAAGGTTCTCACGGGATTTTTCATACGAACGTTCTTTTCAAAATCTATACATGTATACCCTACTTTAAGATGAGCAAGGGCCCACCAATCTTCATTTTAGCAGTGTGACTGAGAAAAGAACTGATCTTTTTCTACATTCCCTAAAGTTTTATTAATTTATTGAAGTTGGACCTTTACCCCCTTTGACTAAAAATCTCATCAGCATTCAGCTTGCATGCTGATATCAAGTCATCTTACATTCATTAGTTAAACAAACATATTTTATTTTATTTACAATTTCTTTTTTTTCCCCACTTGGTCCACTTTGGCACAAATGATTCAATTGTGGCCAAGCATTGCACTCTGGGAAGATTACATCAGCAGAGCATTGCTGGGAAATCTCATCCGTAATCTCGTGAGATGATGTGCATGGTCACATGTGCTAGAAGTTCCAGGAAGTAAAGGGAGACATGTTAATGTGCCCTTCATAAAAATGGCCATTGTCAGAAGAAAGGGGAGGAAAAGAAAAATAAGGTATGGAAAGAATAAAAAGCCATCAATTACCTATAATTATCGGTTTGAAGATTGCCATTAATAAACATTTCTAAAGCTGCCTTTGTTGTTATTTTGAAGATATGGGAAAAGTTCCTCTCTAAGGCTGGTTTCACACCATTTTCCGGAACAGATCTGGAACGCCGTGCATCATGTTTTTACCGTGATTTTGCTGCCTTCCAGAGAATGGGCTTTCAGGTGCAGTCAAGTACGTTCCATGTGTTTCTGATGCGCTTCTATGCGTTTCAGTGCATTCAAGACCAGACAAAATGAGACATGCAGTATTTTTCTGGTCTGGAACGGACTGCGCTGGTGTGAACAGAGGCTAGAAATAGCATAGGGCTACATTAGGATGCATTTTGGGTCCGGAAACAATCTGGTCTGGAGATGATCTGGATGTGGCGTGAATGGGCCCTAAGACCATCAAAGATGGGCAGTTTCTTTCTTTCGTTTATACAGTCATGTGTGCATTGATAAACAATGAAATCATCTGAACTCCGTCCTGCGCGTTACATCCAATTTACTACATTAGGGGGATCTAGAAGTCAATTAGACGTAACGCGCAGGGAGGAGTTCTGATGCCATTATTGAGATGGAAGGAGCTGTAACTCACGCCTGGACTAGAGAAGAGAAAGAAAGCGGCACCTTTACTGGAATTCCCATCACTCATAACTCATTATACTGTGAGTGGCTTTACTCTTTTATATATTTGAAATAAATAAAAGTTTTATGGAAAGCACAATGGGATTTTTCTATTCTTATCCATTATGAGCGTTATTTATTGATCAAACAGAATACAGAGGTACTGCTTGGCCATTGTGTTTTTTCTCAGTGGGGAAAACAAATATTGATTGACCTTAGTTAAATACTAGGTCCAGTAATTAAGGTGAGAGTTTGATCTTAGAGATGGAAGTGGAGGTTGCACATGATGTGCTTTAATGTGGAATAGTGGATATATTACTTCACAACAAGTCAGATTGCTGGTTGGAAATAAGGACTTGTCATGTCACAACACTATGGACTATTGTTTAAATAATTGTGCTTGATTTATGCATTTATAGATGTCACATTTAGTACATGCGGTACATTTACTGTAACGTGTTGAAACAGGATTTGTATTGAGCGCTAATAGATAACTAGGGGTCGCTTAGTACTGCACTCATTTTTTGATTTGTGGATGAATTGATACATTTGAAGTGCTGGCAAGCTGTAATATAAAGAAAGGTGATTTGAGCACAGAACTATTGGATTGTATTTTTTAATGATTGCTTTCAGCCTTTATATGATCAATATAGAAAATAACAATGACTTTAGCTAAGCAATATGGATTCCAGGAACAAAAACATGGATTTTGCTTCATGTAAAAATATATGCAGAAGAGATGTTTCTGTAAAAATAGAAATGTGTTTTAATTTTTAACAGATTGATGAACTGCCGGAAGGAGCTGTGAAACCACCAGCAAATAAATTTCCAATTTTCTTTTTTGGTACCCATGAGACGTAAGTCCTTTTCAATAGATCAGTATATGTTGTATGTATAATGTGTCTATGATAATACATAAGGAGATAAACAGAACACATAGAAGTGGGGCAATTAAAAAAAGGCCAAGTGATATAAGTTAGTAGGAACACTGCCTGGGTCTGTGGTATATTAAGCCAGAAACCTGATTTTCTCTATACTTTAACCGTACAAACTTTTTGTATGGAGGTACTGGTCACACCCCCTTCTTTTAAGACACATGTTACAGTTTTTCCATCACTGGAATAAATGGCCTTACTAACCAATAGTAAGGTTTACCTGGCAGGATGGAGCAGGGTTAGACTTTTTTGTAAATTGCAGTGCAGAGCATTGAAAGTACATTGTTTGGGATAGAACAAGAAAGGATAAAACCTCTGTCCAGTTTTTATTATGTCCTTGTTGATTAAATAGTAAAACATAATGCAATGTTAAAAATGTTTTTTCTTTTTAGTTCAGACCATGTGAGGAAACACAAAAACATACTGTCAATGTTTATGCTTTGGTATTCTTAATCATGCATTGAGGGACACAAGAGTATTCCGGTACATTGGGTCATGTGCAGCTGCCTACAGGAGCCTGGACACAGACAAACAGAGCTTAAAGACCCAGTTGAATCCCTCTCACTCAGCAAGCCTCAATGTTTTCCTAATGTCTTCTCTCTACTCTGAGAGAAGCAAACCTTTTCTATTTCTTTTTTTCTGTTGTTTCTAGAGACATTTTTGTAGCAAGTTTCTTCAATTGCTGCAGAGCCATTGGGGCTCATTTTGCAGCTTTCTAAATTGGTGGATTCTCAGCATAGCTTTGGAGGCTGAACCCCGCTGTGAGTAAGATGTGCCCATGAACTCTGTATTAGGCTCTGCATTAGGAACCCTTCTTTGTCCTACACAGGGACTGTATTCAGGTCATCATCTGCACTGCTTGGATGTGGTATGCACCATTCGAGTATACCTCCTAAAACTCACCAATTACCTAATAACAGCTAAAAACAACAGCCACTATTCCTTACTCTTGCTATTAGACCTCTCGGCTGCTTTTGACACTGTTGACCACCCGCTGCTCCTCATAAAACTCCACTCGCTTGGCCTACAAGACTCTGCTCTCTCGTGGTTCTCCTCCTACTTATCTATGCGCTTCTTTAGTGTCACCTACAATTCTAACTCCTCCCCTCCTCTTCCTCTTTCTGTAGGGGTCCCCCAAGGCTCTGTCCTTGGACCCCTTCTCTTCTCTATCTACACCTCCTCCCTTGGTCAACTAATAACCTCACATGGCTTCCAATACAATCTCTATGGCGATGACACTCAAACTTATCTTTCCACTTCACAACTCTCCCCCTCTGTGTCCTCTCGTGACACTAATCTACTAACTGACATATCCGTCTGGATGTCACAACATTTCTTAAAACTCAATCTTTCATAAACTGAGCTCTTGATATTTCCTCCTGCCCGTGCACCTTCCCCCAACATTTTGGTTGAGATTGATAACACAACTATCCACCCCTCCTCCAATGCCAAGGTCCTAGGTGTCATCCTTGACTCGACCTCTCTGCTATGTCTTCTTTTAGACAGACTGAAACAGTCTTTGTCATTCCTAAAAATGCCCGCAGGGGACACCCTGCCTTGTGTTCCACTATTTCCTGGTGTATTTGGAAACTCACCATTCTATAAATCATGGGATTAAGTGTTTAGCAGAGGAAGGTCTGAGTGCCACTTCCCACAGTAAATTAATCAACAACTATAACAGAAAGTTCTAGCCATAGGCTAGTAGGGGCTTTTACAGGACATTACCAGACCTTCGTAGTAAAAATTAAAAGGTACTTTATTACCCAGCCATAAAATTAAGATAAAAGAGTCCTGGTTAAAAACATATCACTTATGCTGGTATATATCCAGTGATGTACATTCAACATTGATAATTAGAGGTGCACCGAAATGGAAATTTCAAAACTGAAACGAAACCGAAATTAAAAAATTGTTATTCTGAAACCGAAGATGTTATTTATTTTAATTTTTTCACATTTTTTAAATATTTTATTTTTTATAACCTTTTTAATTTTTATGTATTAATTCATATTGTGTATTAAATATTTTTTACTTTACTTTTAGGGGGTTCGGGGAAATATTAGGGGTCTAAACAGACCCCTGATATTTCCCTTTTAAAATAGAAAAAGAGATTGAGGACTCAATCTCTTTTTCTGCAGCCCCTGTTATCAATGAACAGGAATCCTCTACTGAGTGTTCCTATTCATTCATAACATGAGAACAGAGTATGTTTACTGTAACCACAATCATGAATGAACAGGAGGTGATGTAGATCCCTAATTTGTACTATTGTTTCAAGGCCTATAATGACCCCACTAGCCTATGGATATAACTTTCTGTTATAGTTGTAAGCTCATGATTCTAGCCTACAGCATGAAGGATATGGTTCTACCTTTCCTTGTCAAAGCTCTGACATCAGCCAATCGAGTGCTTTGAAGTTTGTTTGAGACCTGAAATAAGCACACTGGCAACCTTGACATTTGGCATGCTTTGAAAGTAACTGCTTTGCCACACAGTTTAATTGGTTAGTCTAGTCCCCCTTACGTATATACTTTTTTTCATTTGAGCCCCTAGACCAAAACAAGCAGTTAACTCTTGCGGTGCAGGGGTAGACCCACTGCAAGGGTTAAATTTTTCAATTCCTGGAGTTCCTCTTTAAAGGTGTGTAACAGGAACCGTTCTTAACCACAGTCTTCTAGGGCAAACACAGCACCGGACAGTCCACTTAACTTTTCAAAAGGTTTATTTTCCATGGCACACAGCAAACAAGTATTTCTGCAGGTCATGAAATACAGTCCTCTCTCTGCAGTAAAACACGATAGTTCATAACATTACCCAGTACTTTCCTGCACTCCAATGTGGTTTCTAAGATAATGTCCTTCTCAGCAACAAACAGATCTTTGCAGCCTTCATGGCCTGTTCACACGACGTCCGTTTTCTGTGCTGACCTGATCCGTACGCTCCTGCACTAAAAATGCATCCCAATGTATTTCTATGTGTTTTATGGGCTACAGTTCTCACGTGCGCAGTCCGTTCCGGTCCGGACAGAAAAAATACTGCATGTCACATTTTGTACGGTCAGGAAATGAAAAACGCGACAAAAACGCACTGCACTGCAGCTAACATACTGACAGCCCCACTCCACCAAAATAAAAATAAAAATTAGTTTTTTCTTTTCGACCAAACCGCGGCAAAACACATAGCACCGCGTCTGCTGATCCGGACCTGATAATCATGTGAACAGGCCCTCAATCCTCCAGCTCACCTAGCTAGGTAACAGTCTCTGACACATAAAGCCAGGCTTCCTTTTAAACACTCACAGCCGCAATCATGGGCTACACCTGTGAGTACCAAGCTGCAGCGACAAAACCTGGACTGGACAGCTTACTGAGCTGATGGGATAATGGCCCACCCTTCTCTCCATTATCCCATCCCCAGGGACCCAGAACACAATTTATAAATGGCACAACTAAATCATTAATGCTTTGCCTGGGTTTTTTAACTAAACAGAGGGATGCAACCTAAAAGGCTTGGTCTTACATACCTCCCATTTATAACCATTCCTTGCTTTCTGTCACAGGTGGCAAAGCAAGTCCTGCTTCTCAGGAAGGCATAAAAAAGCATCCTCATTGCCACTCCTAACATCCTTAAGGTGCCCACACACCTTACAATTTATCTGCAGATTTTCTGTGGTCAGATGGAAAAAGTGCAACAGATTGGCCCAGGTGGAGATTCCTCCATCCACACAGTTAAGTGTAGATGGAGGAATCTGTTGCACCTTTTCCATCTGACCATAGAAAATCTGCAGATCAATTGTAAGGTGTGTGGGCACCTTTAGACCATCACACATGAAACTCCAATGTTGGCCATTGTGAGCCAGTTCATCGCACTGAGTGGACTATTACAGGGCTATGTATAAATCCTGCCTACAACCTTGAGCGCCCTTATAAATCCATGATTTATTTTATGTTTATAATACATATAAAGATTTTATTGCTCTAGGTCAGTGTGGTCAGTTCTGCTTTTCTTCTCTTTTAGTAGCTGGACCTTCTCAGTGGAACTGCAAAACCAGCATACCATTCCCTTATATATTTTTTCTGCTGCTTTTTTTGTTGGCTCAAAGGAACCAATACGATTTTGGGGATTTCTGCTATAGAATGAAGTGTACTTTAGAGATTTTTTGTTTTGTTTATTCTATGTTTCTTTTCTAAATACCTAATTTTATGGGTATACGTTTTCAATGTATACTGCATTGTTAATGAAGTTCTGATCATGGCATTGATTATAACTGTTTACACACATATATAACTTGGATATGCTGTTTTTTTGCAAATTCTCGTAGAGCAGATGTTAAAATTGCCCGTTTCATGGTTAATGTCTATTAACCATGACATCTAATTTAAAATAATAAACAATCATCAGATTAGAAGAAGTCCCATTATGTTTTACAGCTCAGTCACTTAACTCCCACAGTGTATGTTGCTTTTTATCCCATGTTACAAACTCTGACAGTTCACTCCGCTTCATTCCTGACCATGCAAAGGAGATGGAATCTTGATTGACAGCTCGTATCTCACTGATTCTGCACTTTCCCAACACAGAACAAGTCTTCCCTTCCAGTTCCACTTCCTGTGCTAATTCCTGTGGGAGCGTTCCCCCTTCCTCTGTATTCTTGTGACCTCACTTGTGTCTAGAGATGCAGAGACAGTGTCGGTCAATCAAGAGTTTGTTCTCCTTTGCAGAGCGTGGTCAGGTATGATGAGGAGTGAACTGTAAAAGTCTGTAACTTTTTTCTACTGCACACAGAAGCACGGGGTAAAAAGCAACATACCCTGTGGAAGTTAGGTGACTGAGCTATGAAAAATAATACAAGGTGAGACTTCTGTAACTGTAATAATACAATAAAGAATGTTTCTTTATCATCTCTTCAGGGATATAGGGTAATAGTAAATCATAGACGTGTGGGTTATGTTGCTGCATTCAGGAGGTGAACACTGGCAAACAAAAAAAAGCCAGCCCACTATAACCCCACCACTTACAGACATGCCTCAGTTTTTGCTAGCATCTTAGGAGATTTGAAGTTTTCTCCTCAGCTCTATCTATATTATTACTTTTTATTCTCTTATGTCAGCATTCTCTGTGCTCCATGGATTGTTTTCTCCTTAATCAAGACTTTTGTTAAGCTGCTTTAGCTGGTCTCTACACAGCTATCTATCTAATCGGATTTGAAGGCCGCACCCGGAACCCACTGGACCAAAGATATCAGGGCCTGTCTGTAATGTAATTCTTCAGCACTGGACTCTACTTGTGGTGCTCCCAAGACACCTAGTGTACTGGTTTATTAGCCTCAGAGCACTTTTCATCTCCAAAGCCATGTCACGGTATTTGTACCAGTCTGAAGGCTTGCTCTGTGGGGGGGTTCAGCTGGGGCACACATGTGACAGCTCTTGGTAGAGAATCACTTCCAATATAAAGCCGACAGTCGGAAGAATTATGTAGGCCCGCCTCACCCTGGCACGTCACCCTCATATGCTACTTGGAGCCTGGGTTGGGGTATACTGCCCTAAAGGGTCTATTTTATTTTAGGATTACTGCACTGTAGTGGTGCTTATATGTCCTAAGATCTGTCTCTCCTAAGAGGGAGTTCTCAACCTACACATTCGAGACATTACCTGAATTATATGTTTCCCAAAGATTCGAGTCTTTGTTATAATACTGACTGTCATGTCCTCATTAGTTCATCTAACTTCCTTATCATTGAATGCTTCATAGATTTTCACTGAAATGTTTCAGTATCCTCATTTCTGTTATACTAAGGGGTCTATTGATAACCAATTTTGCAGGGCCGTTCGGCCTGGGAATATCTGTGAACATTTGTTCTGTGTGAATAACAACAAAAATGAAGATTCTTAATATAGTTTGTTTTCGTGCTGAATGTATTATTATGTAATATTGCATTATGGCCTTTAGATGTAACTGAGGAGCATTGGAAATATGATCAGTGTATGGCCAGCCTTTTGGGCAGAGCTAGAGTGGGATGGCCTTCAACTTTTTTTTCTGTTTGCCGCCTCCTGAATGATGCAGCAATATAACCAACACGTCTATGATGTATTATATCCCTGTGTCCCTCAATGGACTCCAAGAAAAAGATTGCACAGTAAATAAAAAAATATATATTTTTTTTACTTATTGTACCAATGATTCTGAAAGATTATGTTATTTTTTCCCATTGCAGTGCATTTTTGGGCCCAAAAGATCTGTTCCCATACAAGGAATTTAAGGACAAGTTTGGGAAATCAAACAAAAGGAAAGGATTCAATGAAGGATTGTGGGAAATAGAAAACAACCCTGGAGTAAAATTTACTGGTTATCAAGTAAGCAGAAAATCAGATATTAATAGTATAATACATTGATTGTAGATTTCTGCGATGAAAATGGAAATTGCTGCCATATTTCTCTACATCTAAAGATGAACTTTGGACTCAACTAATAGAGGTCAGTTTAAAAAAAATTGCATAGCAATTTTTCCAGTAAACTGCATATAGATTCGTTCTCTGTGAATTAACCAGAATTCACTTATCTGTGTGAATGTGGCAAAATGTAATATAGTGAAAGAAGAAGTATTGACAGAAGTTTAAAATGCTTGTTTTGTTAAATCCCCCAGGGGACCCAGTACACATAGCACTTGTCCTGTTCAAATATGTGCAGTGGTTGCTGAGTGTTGTCGATTAGCTTTCCTCTCCTTCCACCACTGCTATCCAACAACACTGCTAGCATAGAGATGGCAGCTCTGAGTGACGACCTCCTCTTAATGCTGCCAGCCCTTCTTGTTATTGTGCAGCCTTCTCTGCTGCCTTCTTTCTATTGTTAAAAACTCTCAGCCCAGACCTGTTCTCCAGCCACCTGCTATTTTGTAGAGAGACGAGGATATAAAATGCTGTTTTTTTTTGGGGAATGACAGCGGCTGCAGAGGAGCACCATGATTCACAAAAAGCACAAACCAGCTACTACAGTAGACTCTCTCAGGCGAGTGTAGTAGTTGGCTTCTGTTGTTGTGGGAGGGTCTGGGCTCAGTCAAGCTAGTTTTTTCAGTACAAGTACAATAGCAAAGGAGGCACAGGAATGCAATATTACATGGAGGGCTGGCAGAATTTAGAGGGGCAGTGGCTTCAGTGCTGTCTGTAGCTCCCCAATAGGAACATCCATAATTTGGGCTTCAGCCTGGGAAGGAGGTACAGCCAGTTCTGACAGATAAAAATGTGCTTTTATTTCCAAACCACTGCACAGATTTGAATAGGGACAATCATGATCAAGTCTCTGACACACACCCTGGGAGAGACGCTCCCAGACCCAGTCAGGTTCTTAGTAACCCAGTCTCATCTCCTTTTTGCCCAAGATTGTTTTTTACACTTTGCAGTCAAATTTATAATATTGTGCCTTAACAGTGGGGAAGGTGTGTTGTATTGCCATTTATTTAAATGACACCCCAAATGCACCTCCTGCCCGCAATGCAGTCGATCATGCCACAAAGTGCGGTACCACAATACCGTGCATTGCGATTAACACATGGCACTAGTGTGAATGGGACCCTTAGATGTTTGTTTGGAACAGGCCTTTGGTTAAGCTACTGTGAACGATTTCAAAGTGAGTCTGTCCCAAGACAAATTGTGGACATAGTGGATTTCCTCTCATTAACATATAGATCTAGATCTGTTAGGACAGACAGTGTTTACATTTAGATTACAGCTTATAACTAGGGATGCACCGATATATCGGCCGTTGAAACTTATCGGCCGAAAATGGCACTTTTGGCATAATGCCGAAAGTTCAATTTTCCTGGCGATACATCAGTGCATCCCTGTTTTCTTTCCTCCCCACTGGGCGCTGCTCTGTGTCCCAGCAGGGATGAGAGAAAGCGACGGCCGAGCACTGCGGGAGGAGAGCACTGTGAGCGGCCGGCGTCTCCTCCCGCAGCGCTCAGCCTCCTATCAAAGTCCAGCAGAGCGGCGTGTGGCCTGTGACAGTGATCGCTGAGTGTTTTTAGATAATTGAGGACATGGTATCTGTACTATATCCTCAATTATGAATGAATGGGAGTGATCTACATCACCTCCTGTTCATTCATAGTTGTAGTTATAGTAAACATACTCTGTCCTCATGTTATGAATGAACAGGAACACTCATAGAGGATTCCTGTTCATTTGTAACGGGACACAGAAAAAGAGATAGGAGGACTTTGTGTTTTCAATCTCTTTTTCTATTTTAAAAGGGAAATATCAGGGGTCTGTTTAGACCCCCAATATTTCCCTAAAGCCCCTAAAAGTAATGTAAAAAATACAAATATTTAATAAAAAATTAATTAATAAATACAAATAAATATAAAAAATAAAATATTTGAAAAAATTAAAATAAAAACATTTTCGGTATCGGTTACGGTCAGACAATTTGTTTTTATTTCGGTTTCGTTTCGGTTTTAAAATTTCCATTTCGATGCACCTCTACTTATAACGACATCTGTCAGCACAGTACAGACAGGGTTAATTATGGCAAACTTTAACTCCCCAGGTCCTGTACATAGCAAAAGAAAATTCTGTTTCAAAGTTCACAGAAAAGTGCAAGTAAAATGTAAGCAGCAATTTCTAGATATTTTTTTTTTAAGATCTGCTATGTGAATGAGAACATGTAAAAATATAAAGTATGCTAATTTGGCTGCAAAATTGGAAATACTGGATTGCGCCGACCTATTATTGTGAGATGTCTCCTTTTCCCAGTAAAGATCACTCCACTAGGATAGTGAGCGCCTTTTGGATTTTTTGTCATCAGGCCTCTCATATGTAAGGCTGCAGCCTTTTGAAGATTTACAAGGTCACTGTGTCGGCCTCTGCAGATGCTAGTTTTATTGTTACGCCCCATTTGCACTTTGCTTTCACGTGCGTTTTCCCCATGTTTGCCATTGCGTTAGCCCATTCTGTCAGTGGGTTGTACAGGCTACGAGAATGTAGCTCATGCAGAATTTTCAGCTGCAAGCGTGGCGCATTTGTTTTGTGCGCATTTGATGCGTGTCCACATGCGGAGAAAAAAAAACACTTTCCCGGCTGGGTATTTTTTATCTTAATGCATTCTCTACATTAAGGTAAAACATGCCCAGTACCTTTCTTTGTTCTCGGTCACCCCCACCCCAACCCCCCTGCACTTACCTGTAGTCACTGCCCATAAAGATACTCATAATTCCCGAGCTTCCTGGTTCTGGGGGAGGGTAATGAGGGCAGAGAAGTGATTGGCTTTTTTTGTCGTGAGGCAAGCCACGCCCCTGCTACCTTCAACAGATTGGCTGACACTAGGTACATTAAAAAAAGAGCACAGCCTAAGGGCGGCCCCTGATGGTGGCCAAACCCCCAACAGCTACAAGCAGCTCAGTTATTCACAAAGCAGTACAAGTTAGTACAAAAACCAGAGTAGAACACATAATAACAACCAGAGGGGAGGGCACTGTGTCCTTCAGTAAACTCAGAGCAAAGGATGTTACAGTGAGTACAAAAATCCTATTTTCTCTAATGTTCATTGAAGGACACAGTGGATCTTAAAATCTTAACCAGTTGGGATGTCCCAAAGCACTGAGGGGTGGGAAAAAACAGCAACTTCCCCAAGGCAGAAAGAACCCAACTGCCTATAGACTACCCAAAGATCCATTGTAGAGGCCTCAAAATGTGGAAAGTAGAGCCCTGAGTCACCAGGGCATCCCCACTGGATCTTGCAGAAAAACAGCAAGGCACATACAGTCAGAAACACAGGTCAGACAAGGAGGGAAAGAAGGCAAACAACAGACCTCAATTACAACCTGTAGATCCCCATCTGACTGGTTTCCCCCAATAACATTGCCTGAGACCCCCTCAGCAAAGGGCAACATGCACAAAAACCCTGAGGGAGAAAGAAGCCAGACCCAGATACCAACAAAACCAGGAAACCATAGTGCACTGGGATGAGAATCCCAAAATGGAAAATATCCGCCCTGCAAAGTCCCAAGAAACAACTGCGGGACCAGGTCTGACCAAAGAAGCCAGGGTTGTCCCATGGTGAACAACCCAAGGTGAAGGATGCCAGACACAATCAAGCAAATCAGCTCCATATGCAGATGCATACCTGCATGAAAAGACTCCTTATTAGAACTAAGAGGATTACAGAATCTGAAGCACCGCTCACTTCGAAGACCCAGACTGCAGGTCCTGCTGAAAAAAGGAATCCTTCCAGGAGACAGAGGATCTGAGTATGCAGAAGGGCCCACAAATTGTCTGCCCGAAGTCTGGAAAAGTCAGAGTACATACATGTCTGGTAAGGGGCTATCCTAGATGCTAGGTTTCTGGAATCCACTGCAAGATATTTCCCTGGACCCAACGCTACGGACCGAAATGATCAACATGCTAAGGTGCACCCCAGCAGAAAGAATAACAGACAAGGCAGAAAAAAAGCTGGGCAGGCCAGAACAGAGTCCTGTGATTTAGCTAGCCAAAGTGAGGCCACTGGTTCCGCCCCAGCACTCAGAGATTGCCACTGCCAAAGAATTGGCAGACAGATTCCCGCGCAACTGCAGCAACAGGTTAACAAAATGAAAAAAGACCTCACACCTAGCTAAGGATCTGCGATGTCTGAGCTGGGGGGACTACAAGGCTCTATATTATCCAGCTCAACTGTTAATTGAAGGTCTGAGAGACAGAAGAAACTGAAAAAATAAGATTCCCTGCACATAAACCAGGACAAGGAATCCTGTCAGGGAGCTTAGGTCCTAACTCCTTGACATGAGGCAAAAAAACTGAGCTGCTTGTAGCTGTTAGGGGGCTTGGGCACCATCAGGGGCCACCCTTTGGCTGTACTTTTGTTTTTTGGTGCCTGGTGTCCTACTCCTAAAGGTCCAAAAGATACAAAAAAGGTCACAAGCACTGCAGCATGTAGAAAAGTCAATGGGGGGAATTTATCAAAACTGGAGCAGACAAAATCTGGAGCAGTTGCCCATGGCAATCAATCAGCTTCTCTCTTCAGTTTGTTCAGTTAAGATTTGAAAATAAAAGATGAATGCTGATTGGTTGCCATGCACAGCTGCTCCAGATGTTGCCAGCTCCAGTTTTGATAAATTCCCTTAAATGTTTATTGACTTCACAGGTGTCACATCATCAGAGCGACGTTTCGGAACAACAAAGTCCCTTTGCAGTTCCGAATTGTCGCTCTGATGATGTGACACCTGTGAAGTCAATAAACATTTACTTTTCTACATGCTGGAGTGCTTGTGACCTTTTTTGTATCTTTCGGACTTATATTGTGGAGGCATCCGCAGTCATTTCAGCACCCACCCTACAATTAGGGTTTTTTATCCGGTCAGGAGTGCGATGGGCGTGTATGGGTTTTTTTCTACGCCTAAAGGTGGCGCTATACCCATCTGGTTAAGGTCTGAGGTTCTGCAAGCTGATCTTTAAAGCCTTTGTTTGGATTTTCTTGTTGGATTGGTTTGCCTGTGTTTGGAGGTGCCCGCCCCTCCATTTGGACTGCTTTTGGGCATCCCTAGGTTTCTCAATTCGAGCTGTGTGCATCAATGGATGATTGAGATTTTTGTACTCACTATAAAATGCTTTTCTTAGGAGTCCATTTAGAGACACAGCTCCCTTCCTTCCCCTGTCTGTGAACGGCTTGCTACAACTGGACAGGTGGGAAGTGGGAGGGGTTATATCCTTAAGGGGGCTGGGCTTCAGTTTTCCATCTGCCGTGTCTATTTCTCCTGTAGGCGGAGGTATAATCCTGGTTGCTCAAATCAAGCTGTGCCCCTCAATAGACTCTGTGAAAAGGATTTGATAATGAAATGCTATTTTTAAATAAAAACAAGTGTAAAGAATTGAATTTGACTTGATTTCAGTTCTAGTAATCCCCAGTACAACAGCAGTTAGACTGAGATAGGGAGGGATGGTATTTGGGGCCAGTCAGGTGTCCTGCATTTACATGTACTAGCAAGGAACTCACAGCAGGGAGAGCAGAGAGATGACCTCATCAGTCGGTTGCTGCTGCTTCACAGTCCAGTCACTGGCTTGGGGTTTATAGGGGGGTGGATCACAAGAAAGGATTTATTTTTTTGTTAGCCAATGTGCTTTCAGGGTTAATAAATCCCCCTTTATATAAGCATGCTGGTTTAGAACAATAGCTGTTGCAGTGGACCATGCTTGTGTGACGTGTGTTATTATTGAAAAATCATAAAATATAACTAATAATAATCCTCATTGATAAACATAATGTATGTGTATTTGTGTATGTAGGAAGACTTGTCAGTAAAACATTTGTATATATTTTTGTTAATAGATGCATCTGAAGGTGAGCATGAACTGCAGAATACAATAGAAGAAAGTACAGTGAGAAAATGGTCATGGTGGAAGTTCTACTGGTGAAATACTTATACAATATATAATCATACAAAAATACAGTTTGGATATTGAAACAATGGAGTCTTGGTTACAAAACAAGATGATGGAACCAGCATTGCCTTAGCAACCAGCAGGATGTTTGCCTTTTTTTAACCTGTTGTAGGGACTTTAAACCTTTAATCTGATTGTCTGCAATTGTAAACATCTGTACTTCAGACTGTTCTACATATGTTCTACATATCCTGGTGTCATTTTCAGATATATGTGTTCAGGAACACAGGCACCTGGTCCCAGCCCAAACCACTTTTACTAAAGTTGTGTTTAATATGTGATAGCGAAAAATAGTATTTGGCTAATTAGACCTGGTTAGGTTGATGTAATGTTTGCTGGAGGGGGGGGGCAATGATTGGTCAAAGGGAATTGGTATGATTTGTAGTGGCTTAAAAATAATTGAGGTAAGTGTTGCATCCTTTATATTTCCCTTTAGCACCAAAGCAAAGAATACCACTGAAATATCGGAATACTTTGACATGATTGCCCACAGTCTGTTTCAGTGAGAAGGATCACTCCTGGAAGATTCTGGGCATTTTGTCAAAGGATGACCAGTGATGTGTATATGCAATGACATTCTGGCTTATTTACCCTCACGCATGATAAAGGTTTGGCAGATTTGAATAACTTTTTATTCTCTGTACCACATCTGTGGTGTGTCACTAATTGTCCAATATAAGTTTAATAGAGCAGTGTTTGGCTGCCATTATTTATAAAGCTATTGCTCCCTTGTTAATGAAAATGTTTGGCGCAGAACCTCCTATGATATCCCCCATCATCTCCTTTGGCTTTTCAGTTAAACGTCATGACTCGGTTGTCTTAAAATACATAAAATAACGTGCTACTATTTTACTTGTTGAAGACAACAAATAGTATTCATACAAAGTCATATAAGAGTACATTCAGAAGGGTATAGGACAATGGGCCCTCATAAAGTGCATTCTTCAGGGCGAGCTAAGTTTCAGTGCAATAACAGTATTTAAACAAAGCGAGCCCAACGTTACCAAAGTCCGTACAAAGTCATATTTTACAAAAGGGGAGTAAGAATGCCCACTCTCTGCACTTTAGGTGTGCTTTATCCATACTATAACACATTGAGAGATACACGTTCATTGCTGCTGAAGCTCAAACTGTTTGTCAGCAGGCTTCCAAAAGTCTTTTCAGTGAAAAGCTGAAAATGATGCTGTTTGCTTCAGATAATAGCATGCTAGTGAAAAATGCATATTTCTAATTGTGCCTCTAAACCATTATTTTGGTTCTATGATTATTATTATTGAGTCATTACAGTATTCAGATGCTGAAGGGATGCAGCATGCATTATCTTTATGCATAGCAGTAGTGGCTTTTCTTACACCTTTGCGGCTATTATGGTTCTACAAATCACTATTTTTACTTTTAATAATATATTTTCCTGTTGCTTTGACAATATTTCCTGAATGTTATAATGCAAAGTCTGCCTTTAGCGTATCCAAAGTAACAAGGAAATCAATCAAATCATCACTCATGGCTACATATAGGTTATCGTTATTATTCTCTGGATTACAGTGTTTTACATCAATTCTATTTTCGATCTATTCAAGGCAATGCAGCAACAGAGCTCCTCAGAAACTGAGGGGGAAGGAGGCAATGCTGCCGATGGCAGCAGTGAAGAGGAGGAAGGAGATCAGGTAGAAGAGGATGGAAAAGGCAAGAGGAAGAATGAGAAGGCAGCTTCCAAGAGAAAGAAGTCCTACTCTTCAAAGGTAAACTGTAGTCATGTTATGGTGCCTTATATCTGTATTGTGGCATTGTAGTGCAAGTTCTAAAGAATACGCAAAATCCACTTTGTACATTAAATGTTTGGTTATTATAGCACACCATTACTATATAGCAGGCCTCAAAATTTCCACTAGCCCCCTCACAATTGGCGAGTGAAAATTGCGTGGGGGTGAGTGGAATGTCATCGAGGGGGTGCGCCGCCGTCGGGACCAGAGATGGGACACTACCGCTGCGACGATTGCTCGCTTCTGTTCTCCCTTCTCCTCCTCTGTAGCTGCAGCTACAGAGCGGCCGAGAAGGAGAAGAGAGAACAGAAGCCAAAGATTGCTGCGGCGGTAGTGTCCCATCCCTTGTCCCGCTGGCGGCGCACCCCCTCGATGGCATTCAGTTCGGCTGTCTTCTGCAGCTTCCACGCCCACCTCAGCTGCCAAGCCGGGAGGAAGACTGCAGAGACAGTGAGACACCCGGCCAGAAATGTAGGCAGCGCAGGGGAAAAAAGTTTTATCTCCCTAAATTCAGGATCTCTGTACCGCCCCCCCACCACCACCAGGAGAAAGAAGAGGGCACCTGAATACCATCAGCTAAGTGCTGAACTCTGCGCTGTGCGTCACACTGACCTCTGCGCTGTGCGTCACACTGACCTCTGCGCTGTGCGTCACACTGACCTGTGCGTCACACTGACCTCTGTACTGCTGACCTCTGTACTGTGCGTTATATTACTGACCTCTGCGTGGTTACTGATTTCTGTATTGTTCGTCACACAGCTGGCCTCTTTATTCGGCATTGCACCGCTGACCTGACGGATTTAAGGCCGAGTAGGGGTTAGGTGGGGCAACTGGTGGCGAGTATCTTTTAAGGCCTGGCTAGTAGCTCAGAACTTGAAATTTTGAGCCCTGCTATATAGGATCTCTGTAATCTGTCAACATTTGTTCAGTACAGTATTGCAGCTTTATGTTGTATGAAAGTGTTTGTCAGGGTTAAATAAAGTAAACATATGCTTTTCTACAATACATTTCTACTATACATGCACATTCTCCATGTTTTACCCCTTTAAAGTGTCACGGTCTGGGAACTGGGGCACAAGGGAAGGTAGGCTCCGGGGCTTACGGATTGGGTTGGAGTAGCGAGCTGGAGTAATGCCTGGGATGCAGGTCCCAGGGAGCTCAGGGACTAGGAGTCTGTGCGGGGAAGCACTATCTAAGGGCCAGGTCGTCCACAGAGCCATCTATATTCATTTCTGTTCTTGAGAAAAGACGAGAAGTAAGCACTGGACACAGTACAGCTCCGAATTGCTGACATCATCAGTAGGTTTATTTTTTGCTCTCGTCGAGCAATTATAGAAAGACTCTTTCAGTGGTATCTATGACTGGTTCATTAGAAGAAATGAAAATGAAGTTGGTGGAATGTGTTGTTTAATCTCTCGAGTGAACTTCCGAAACTCACAGATACTGAATTCAAGTTTTATTTGCATTACATCTGTAATAATGTCATACCATTCTGGGAAAACAACAAGTGGTACTGCAAATAGAAGTGAAACAATCCATACCATGTAACTTTCTGAAGTGTTTTATAAGATGTAGAATGTGATGCAAGTGGTGTATCCCCATTTGCTGCAGATGAGCTCATATCAGTGCATCAAAAGTGTGCAGACTAAACAGACTGTGGAAATCAATGCATATGATTACTCAGTGTGCCTCAAATCCATTACTGATGTTGGAGTGTGAAGCTGGCCATACATCTATAGATTATCTGCAGACTTTCTATGGTCAAAAAGTGCAACAAATTCCTCCATCTACACTAAACTGTGTGGATGGAGGAATCTCCTGCTGGGCCAAGCTTCAGTATCTTGCTGTCGGCCCCGCTGGCTCTCAAAACACCTGAACATTGCCTGCATCCAATCAGATTGTTCAGGCATTTTAAAAATCCAGCGTGGCCGACAGCAAGATACTGAAGCTTGGCCCAGCAGGAGATTCCTCCATCCACACAGTTTAGTGTAGATGGAGGAATTTGTTGCACTTTTTGACCATAGAAAGTCTGCAGATGATCTATAGGTAGGTGCCCATCTTTAGTGTATGTTCTCCATAGGTTGTCTCTCCAGGCAAGATAGGTAGGTCACTTACTAGATAAAAACCTATGCAAACAAAGTGCCTTAAAGAGACAGTGGGTGGAATTTATCAAAACTCGAGCAGACAGAATCTGGAGCAGTTGTCAATGGGAACCAATCAGCTTGTGTCTTCAGTTTGTTCGGTTAAGTTTTGAAAATGAATCAGAGAAGCTAATTGGTTGCCATGGGCAAGTGCTCCAGATATTGTCTGCTCCAGTTTTGATACATTCCCCTCAGTGTTCATTCAGGACAATGTGATAAGGGCCCAACCCACTGACATTTACCTTTCAAACGTTGCCATGTTGATCCCTCCTCTGTCAAAGTTGCCACCAAAATACCCAGTGTTGGCCTAGAAGGTGGGGTGATGTCACACCCTCCATAATGAGACAATGTTTGGGCCTAGCGATTGGCCGCTGGACCTGAGCACTGTCAAATTAGGAGGAGGTCACTTGCTCCCCCATACCCGCAAGCATTGGTCAGGCACCTTATGGTTTATTCACCTTGGTCTCCAGCCTGTGACTGGACATAGAATGATATGGCACACACCTATAAGGTCATCATTACATCGTCCTTTTTCTCCTGGAAGCATATTTAAATTGTGAATTGATGGCAGCAAAACTCTTATTGGCTCAGAGCACTGATCCATCTTCAGTAGGATTGTTTACAAACTTCTAGATGGATATGGTTATTAGGACTTATGGAAATTCAATATAGAAACACAGATTTAGCTTTCGTTTTTCACCATAGATACTCTTTAAGCTTTTCTTGTGTGTGTTCCACTTTTCTAATCTCTCCAGAAACCGTCAAAGCTTTCTCGGAAATCTTCGGGAGATGAGGGAGAAAAAGACAGCAAAGATGAAGAAAATAAGAGCGGATCAGAGGCTGGCGATGTGGACAATGACAAGAGAAATGCCTCCGAGGTGCAGAAAAGCAGTGCAGGGGTATGACTGCTTTACTACTGCCGTACTCTTGTGTTGTTTAGTAGTACTGTTTAGGGTGATAACTTCTTTTATGTCATAGGCCCAGCAGGTTTGAGAATATCTAAGTGTTTTTGTGTGATATGTTGGGGATTTTTAAGTTTACAAATATCATAGGGCAATTGGATGTTTGCAGCCTCCTGTTATTGGACTTCATTAACGACGTGCGCAGTAATTGATAGCTAACTGAATTCTGTTACTGTGGTTACTACATACATTGTTGCTGACTTATTGTTCATAGCAGTCAGATTCCTTGTTTCTACATATCCAATATATGGAATTTCACATTCAGATTCCTTGTTTCATTGTTTTAAAATTAATCTTAATGGGTTGGGATGTGCAATAGCTCTGCCTCTACCCCAGTTTTCATAACTTAGCCACTCATTTTTTGAACAAGCCCCTTGGCCTTGTCTCTTTCTTCTCTCTAGCAGGGGTTTAACATGGGAGGTAGGTTTTCTGAATACTTTAAAACAGTATGGATCTTAAATGATTTGAAGTAGTCCATACTATCGTTCAAAATTCAGATAAATACAATACAGTTACTGCTCACATTGCTAAAATGCTGCTATAAAGCTACTTTGACATGCGTTGTAACATGGATACAAACACGATGTGTAAGCAATCAAGTTTGTTCTTTTGTTTTCAGTTTTATCATTATTCACTTGAATCAGCATGAGAGGACAAGTTCATCATGCCGTGCTTCTAGTTATTATGAGATAAGATATTACTATAAGTTTATTTTAATGACAAAAGCAGAGACATAATATTATGCATATATAATAGGCCTTTGGTTAATATCTTTTGTAACATGTATTAGATGTTTATCACATGGTTCCAAATCATTTCCCACTCTGAACACTGAACTACTGTAGAGGCCTTTCTTTAAGCAGAAGGACTCTTAAAAGTCTAATGAAGCCAAACACTAAACCAGACACAAGCCTACTGCAGCTACTATTATATAGGATTTGTCATAAGTGACATTAAAAGATAATTCCACGTTTGTGTCTTATTCCCGAAAATTGTCCATAATAGAAGTCACCAGCACTCGATGATATGTGCAAGAAGTAAAGCACTTTTTATTCAATTGTCACATGTGTCAAACAGCCAACGTTTCGGGGCCACGCAAGGTTCCTTCTTTTGTGCGACATAGTGGCAACAGCAAGTATGCAACTTCAGCTTAAATAGTGAATCAAATCCCTGTTGTCACTTCAAGCACCAACCTCTTACTCAAGGTCTGTACGCTGCATGGAGTGCAGGTGATTTCGTATTATTTATTCCGGAAAATGATTCCTCAGATCAGATATTGACAGAATACAGTAGCTGCCGTTAAGTTAGGTACTACTTCTGTATCATGTGCAGTTCGAAATCATAGACTTCTACAGAGGCCCCATGTTTCTGTAGGCCTATTACTGCATGTTCTGAATATGATATATAATATACCTATTAGTACACAAATAATATTGTGAAATAAATAAATTACTGTATATACTCGAGTATAAGCCGAGTTTTTCAGCCCATTTTTTGTGCTGAAAAGTGCCCCCCCTCGGCTTATACTCGAGTCAGCGTCTCAAGCTGGTCAGGTTTCTTCTTACTTACCTCGCCGAGCATGCACTGTATTAGCAGTATATACTCTATATAGAGTATATACCGCTAATACAGTGCAGACAATACATTTACAATTATACTAACATGAATGTATTAAATGATCTGTATGTAGCCCTGTACTATGGATCATTTAACCCATTCATGTTAGCAGAGGATCATTGTAAATGTATTGTTGCAGGCACTCTATATGTACATGTACTATATACTACATATAGAATGCACTGAACAACAGATTTACAATTATCCTCTGCTAATATGAATGGGTTAAATGATCCGTAGTACATGATATGTAGCCCAGTACCCCCTTTTCCACTTACAGAGCTAGGTTATTGTTTTTCTTTTAAATAAACATGTAATTTTATTGGTATCTATCTTCATTTTGTAAATTTACCAGTAGCTGCCTCATTTCCCACCCTCGGCTTATACTCGAGTCAATATTTTTTCCCAGTTTTTTGTGGTAAAATTAGGTACCTCGGCTTATATTCGGGACGGCTTATACTCGAGTATATACGGTAGTATATCGACATGTGCTCAAATTCCTAAATAAGTCAAGTCTCGCCGCCCTTTGAGAAAGTCTCCTTGTGACGAAATGCGCTAGAAAGGCGGGCCTAACTGACGTCATCACTGAACTGAAATGAATAAGTGAGAGCTTGCAGCAAAATGATCTTTGCTGACACTTTTTGAGGTTTATGTGAGTAATTTTAACCTTTTAAATAAATTGATGGTTTTGAATACTACACGATGAGCACTTGCTGATCTCTTCCATTGGAGATCATTTGCAATGAAAAACCTGTGAGAGGAGACAGTCGGAAGGAAAGCAGAGAGGAGGGGACCATTTTGTGCTGATACAATCTGGGGATCTTTGCTTCTTGCTTTCTAAGTCCATCTTATTATAGACGGTCATGAAATTCTGGTGTTGAAAAGGAAAGTGTGCAGATCATATGGGAGCAGGACGATTTTGTGCACTATTTTGGATGGTGAAACACGGTTTCTATTAAAGGACTATTATATGCACTTTGAGATTTAACAGCTTTGGAAGGTGAAGCATGACATCCGAGATATAAGAATCTCTTTATCTATTGGGACTCTTTGAACTTATTTAAGAATTTGATTAAGCACGTGTGGATACAACAATTAATTAATTTATTTCACAATATTATATGTTTACTAATTAGTATAAAATTGAATATTTAATAATGAGATACAGTATTGACAATCACTTCTTTTTATTGATTTGATTGCAGATCAGCTCTTTATAGCAATTTTGTTAAAAATGCAGGAGAACCCCATATGACGCATCAGAACATAGTTCTTATTCTTTGGGTTGCAATCTGAATAAGATCAAAGTCATATTTTGACAAAAATATAAGTGGGCTTTGTAAAGAAGAATCTCCAACCCAAATAACGCACCAGTTTAGAAACACTTGCTGAGAACAAGTACGTAGGAGCACCTGAGTCTGTGCGGAAAATGGTTACAGCATACAAGATAAATGATTCCTGAAGATCCCTGTAAATGATTATGAGCAGCTTTTAGAACTTGCAAAATCAAAATCTGTCAACAAAAAATATAAAATGTAATCCATTAGTCCATTACCTATGAATTTGGATTCAGGTGAATGAGCCTAATATCCACTGATCACTTGGCAGTGGGAGTACAAAGCAGTCTGGGAGAATTTGTAATAGTTAAAATAACATTGTGCAAACCTCTGCTAGATTTATACAGGCAGAACCATATGCCGGAAATTGTTGATTAGAATGAACAGATGTAAGTACAGGGCCGGATTTACTCTCCCTGTCGCCCCAAGGCCTAGGTTCTGCAATGCGCCCCCCTCCCCGCCAACCCCCCCATACATTTAGTCCTGCCTTCCCAAAGCAGGACTAAATGTAGAAAGTGCAACTTGGCGCCCGGCATTTTCTTCTGCCAATAAAGTTTAGCAAAGCAAAATTAACAGGACAGCTTGCTGCCAGGATAACAGGCCTGACAGAATGGGATAACATGTTGATTTTTTTACCCAACAACCTATCTTACCTTTACCCCGTGTAGATGTCTAGGAGAATAAGTATAGTGGCTGGAAGCTAAAGATTTCATTATGTTGTAAAAGCAGACCAGTCTGTGTAGATTGCATGAACAGTTTTCCTGACTGTTTATCTGAAGGGGGCATTTTATGTTTTATATACTTTCTGAGTGTGCCATATACATGTATTGGAGTTGTCTACCTGGAACAAACAGGAGCTGGAAAGAGAATACTATGGAGCAGCAGTAACACTAATTTCTCATATGTTAAAAAGAAAACTCAATTAGGATCCGTTCAGCTCCTACTCATCCTAGAAGAACAGGCTGCTTTTTTTTAACATAGATTGTCTATTAAGCCTGTATTTAGTGCCAATGGTGACGAAGATTCTGGACAAGATGAATGTTTCTGGACAAGCAAATCATACTATATAGACAGAAATGTAACAAAAACAAATGGACACCGGCTACCTCTTTTCTTATATGTACATGAAGCCACTGAGAACCTTGTATTATGCTCTATGACAACTAAAGTGTACAAAAAAAACAACCCATTCTGACATGTACTAGCCTTTAATGTTATTTTTACTATAAAGCAGAATGTGTCCTCACACTGAATATAGCAATAGTATTTCTACAAAATCTAGTTTAGTTATTATTATAAACGAAACATCAAAGCTCTAATACTGTAATGCCTGGTACACGATTGCCCAAACAGTATACATCCTTACTTGGTTTTGCTGACACCTTCCTTTTCCAGCAGAATTATCTCCGGAGGGAACACATACAACAGTAAAACCATTACAGATGTCCTAAAACTTCTTGAAGTAAAAGAAACAGGTCACCAGCACTCGTTTAGAATAAATATGTCCTTTTTTAATGGACAATTGTGTCACTACAATCAACAGAGCCGACGTTTCGGGGCCGCACAGGGTCCCTTCTTCAAGGCAGGCAATTTTACTGCTTTGAGGAAGGGACCCTGTGCGGCCCCGAAACGTCGGCTCTGTTGATTGTAGTGACACAATTGTCCATTAAAAAAGGACATATTTATTCTAAACAAGTGCTGGTGACCTGTTTCTTTTACTTCGTATTTTGCACGGTGCCATCCGTGATAGTCATTGCGAGCACCACCGTTCTTATTTGGCCAGGACTGCTGTAAGGTGTGCGGAGAGGACCCCCACCACCTAAAACTTCTTGAGACACACAAAATAAAAGTCTTGTGTGAAGCTCCATTTAACCTTTTCTCCTTGGAGCTCCCGCCTTTCTCCTCTGTTTTCTCTACTCTTTAAACACATTTCATGTTATCTGTGCCAAAAGCAAGCTTCTCAGTCCCTTTCTATCTCACCCAGCCCTGTGGATATCCCATTAGATGTATAGTGTAAACTGTGATTAGTGATAGGTAGGAAATTGCTAATTAAACATTTTTCAATGCTACATAACCATCATGTAAAATAATTATTGTCAAGCAGGCAACTGGATGGGGGGAACTTTCTGTTATGTTACCCAACGCTCCTATAAAAATGTGTGTCCCCTAATACTTCTATAATGTGTGTTAGACGCCCAATAATTGGCGGTTACAGCCAAGTGCGGCACAATCTACTGCAGCATATCTGGCAGGAGTTGCTCTGACTGATCACTGACTGGACTATTCCGTTGAAATGAACTGGCACACAAATTTAAAGTGACCCTGTCGCTAGCTGACGAAAGTTATAGAAGAATTGCAAAAGAAGAGCAGGGATGCTTGCCTTTGTGGCAGACAGCAAGGGAAATCTTTGTTCTCTTCAAGAGGAGCTGCCACTGCTATATGGGTGTGTCAGATAGTGTGCCCCCCACTATACACTGTAGTCCCCCCTTGTAGTTTTGGAATGAATGGAGTTTCCCGAACTAAGACCACATTCACTGTTAGAATTTCGTTCGTACAAGAAAAATGTTCCATCCTGCTCCCTTTGAGTTTTTCTGTTACTACCGTCAAAAACGATCGTCGATTTGGCCCCATCAACTAATGGAAAGTCAAACGAACGTTTTGTCATATGAGGCCCCATTCACACTGAGCGATTTATCGAGCGATTTTTGCAGCGATATAGCTCATATTTCCACGCGATATCGCTCTATGTAGCTTCTCCAATCCATTTCAATGGAGCTGTTCACATCTCGTCGCTCAATATCGCTTAATATCGCTTGTAGCTCGTCGCTGGTAGCTTGTCGCTCCTACATGACCCTTTTTTCGAGCGATATTGCTCCTGATTGCATACAGCCCAATAGGAAAAAGTCGCACGACACGTCGCGCAATATCGCTCAAAATCGTGAGATTTTCATGTCGCTCAGTGTGAATGGGGCCTTAAAGTTCTTCCGAAAATGTAAGAAGTGTAGGGCCAGCTTCATTCTGCTATAACTCCTGCCAAGTAGTGATGGGGTCACTTTAATTCTAGCATGGAGCACATAATAGCATCAGTATCATTGTATTGATATTCAACAACACAGCACCAAGTTTATTATAATCTCATTTTCTACACAGTATTGATTGCACCATTCAGATAATAGTATGTGAAAAGATCAACAATTTACCAGTCATCTGAATGTTTTCCTCATCTAGTCTTCACAATGTTATCAGAAGTGAAGAGCACTTGTAACATGGAGAGTGAACTCTACAATTATTTTCATCATAACTATTCAGGCATCATGTTTAAATTTGCAGTTATTAGAAGTTTTCGCACAACACAGAAATAAAACGTCACCTTCCCAGGCTGATTTTAGCTTTAGACACTTTGTGTGCTGATCAATTATCCTTGAGGTATCTTTGACAATGTTTATTATGTTCAGCTGTAACTTTTCATTACAGGCTGTCTCAATATTTTCTTTAAACAAAGTGTTGCGTCATCCTCAAAGCAACTTTCTATGTATCTCTCAGCTTCCTTCGTAGACAGCTGTTTTATTCTTTTTCCACTGAGTTCCCCTCTGATCCACTGACATTTCTCTGGAACTTAGTCCATTTCTCAGCAAACTTCATTCCTTACAGCCGACCCAAAACTTGGAAGGCCTGACTAAATATTCATTGACATGTAATAGGTTTATTTAAAGTGGACCTTTACCCTATTTCATTACCAAGCACTTCAGTGTGCAGTTCTGCATCCTGATATGAAATCATCTTACGTTCATTAGTTAAACAAACATATTATGCCTTAATGGTCCTATTAGGCATTAGTGATGTAATCCGGACCTTGGTGATGCATCCTGGGAAGGTTACATCAGTATTGTATTGCTGGGAAATCTCATCTGTAAACTGCAAAATCTCTCATGATCCCTGAGACGATGTGCATGGTCACATGTCCTAGTTACACATGCCAGAGTTCCAGGAAGTAAAGGGAGATATGCTATTCTGCCCTTAGTAAAAATGGCCACTGTTAGAAGACTGGGGAAGAAAAGAGAAATAAGGTACGCAAAGAATATAAAGATGGCAATCATCTAGAAGTATGTGTTTGTAGATTGTCATTACTAAACATATCTAAAGGTTGTTGACATTTTAATGATAAGTGTGAAGTTTCTCTTTAAGTCCAAATCAGTGACCTTAAACAATCAGTAACTTAGTCATTCATCAGAGCAAGGCCATTTCCAGGAAATTTTTAGGGTATTGCATGTAATATTATTATTATTGTTAATCATTTTTGCAGAAGTTTCTTTACAAAGCCATTCAAAAGCCACACACAATGTCCATCCTTGTTATGATAACACTTTCAGAACAATGCTTGAAGAGAAGGTTTTATTGGGTGTTCTGTGATTTTCCTGCAGAACGTTTATGCACGAGGGGCCCGTAAGAAAGGCACAGATGCTAAAGAGAAATAATAAATCTTAGTGGCACACATGCAAGATTTGGTGAGCATACAATTACCTGTGTAACACGAAGCAAGGCGCTGCTAAATATTCTGTAACTGGATGTTCTTTTATGATGCAAATATATATATAACAATACAGCTTCCTGAATGTAATCCTGGACTGAAAATCAATCCAATGACCATGGCAATTTGATGCTTTCCCAGCTATGTATTTTGCTGCACACATTGCCTATTAAATGTACCAAATCATTTAGCAGATAGTGTCCAGCTCACAAGGTGTATTCTTCTATTTAACTTGCTTATGCCTGGTCAGTGATGATATTTCCATAAGTGAAATCTCTTGGTCCCTTGAATAAATGTGTGCAGAATATATAGCCAAATAATTTTTCAGTCATTGGTATTAGGTTTTTTTTTTTTTCATTTTAGATATCAGATGGTAGATTATCCGATATTCAGTGAAAGTATTAAAATGTTACACGTTTTAATATTTTGGTGTGCCCCATATAACCTAACTATAAATGCAGTTAGCATGTGGCTACCTAATGTTAATTCCTATTTCCCAGCATTCCTTTCTAACCACCTGGGCATGCTGGGTAGTGTTAGTTCAGACTTAGGTTTAGTCACTTCTGGCACCTGCAGGACTCATTTGTTTTAATGTTCCCATACCGGAGGTTTACGTCATTTACTGTGCTTATGTATAGAGGCCATTGCTGATCTTCCTGTTAGTCTTCACTTTAACAATGTCTTTGGTTGTTTTTCTTTTATTTATAATGGTCACATTTTTAATGTGAAGATGTAGGGCCATTCATGTATATTCACAAATGTCAGTGAATTGCGGCTTAACATAATAAGTGATGAACCCAATGCATTGAAATGTAGGGCAGCATTAGATCATTTTTCTGAAACTAACATGACAATTATTGTTGTTGTTTTGTTTTTTTGCAGACTTAACAAAGTACAGATGACCATGGGAAGAGGTCCATATTTTGCTGTTCTCCACACATTTAATTGTTGCCATCCAGAGATTGTCAGTTTGTATACATAATATCATGTTCTATTTGTTGTGTTTGCTGACATCAGAAGTGCA